TACCGACCACCGCCTATTCCTCGTTAGTACTAACTGGCGGTACGCTACCTGCGTCCGCCCTACTCGAGTCAGACACGGACGCAGATCTACCACAACGCTATGAGCCATAAATGGCAGGGTTGTATACAAGACTACCGATCGCACTGGAGCACTCCCCTCTAATCCGAGCACGCGTTAGTTTGCGCCAAGCTGTCCATGTGCTTCGGTGGGCGTTCTAAACGCTTGACACATCGACGGTTAGACTATGATCAGTTGTCTGAACCAGCATGCCTAACTGTCGTTTAGAACGCACTAGCTGAAAAGCTACAACCAACCCCACCCGATGACGTTAACCAGCACTGGTCGCTTATCAAGAATGCCCTGCATTCTGCTGGCTTAGTTAGTTGTGGTCTAACTCGTCGTGCCGCGACACCTTGGATTTCTGCTGAGTCTCTACGCTCTCTTGACGCATGCCATCCAATCCCGACCGACAGCGAGCATAATGAAACACGACACGCAACGAGTCGTAACCTCAACGCAAGCTTACGCAGAGACCAAGAGATTTGGTGGACTCAACACGCGTTAGAGACGAAATGTGCTGCCGCCATGGGAAATTCCCATAAACTGTTCCATTTCATCCTGGTCACCGGTAGGAAAGCCTTGGGTGTGAGCAAAACGAACTGCCAAATTGACGGTTCACCCATTCATAATCAACAGCCACGTCTTGAACGCTGGGCGGAGCACTTCAAGGCAAAATTTAGCTGGCCACCAGCGTCAGCTCCTCCAACAGCTATTCCGGTGCACGTCCCATGATCTGTCACAAGAGACTCAACTTTTGAGGCGGAAATCCATGAGGAGATCCAAGCCTTGGGACATCACAAAGCGCCGGGCTCCGATGGCCTTCCCCTCCTCTATTTAAGGATGATGGAACAAAGCTTGTTAGAGAACTACAGGTTCTGTTCTCTTAAGTGTGGAACATTCAGCAGGGAAATCGATGGTCGTCTCCATCTTCAAAAAGAGTCCGCGAAGTGACTGCGCTAATCATAGGGATATAGGCCTAATCCCGGTAGCGTCAAAGCTGTTGGCGTCCGTCATTCTCCGCCGGTTGTACACTATGCGTGAAGAGCATACCCGCGAGGAGTAGGCTGGGTTTCGCGCCGGTCGTGGATGCACCGATCAAATCTTCACCCTTCGATAGCTGCTAGAGAACCGTCATGTCTATAAAAGACCAACGATCATTGCACTTTTAGACATCCGTGAGGTCTTCGACTCTGTCCATAGGAGTACCTGAGAAGTATGTGTCGATCCTCAAAGAGTTGTATCTTCATACCTCACGTCGGTTTAGGGCCTATGGCCAGCTTTTACCTCCTTTCACTGTTCCCA